AAGGATTCTCAGTCTTGCCGAGGATAAATGGGTGGGACTGAGAAGGCATCAGCTTCTCTTTGTCTTGTGCCGCTGCTGGTGCAATGAACCTAGCTGCCTGTGCCTAGCTGGCCTGATAACCTCAAGTGCCTTCTGGGGGCCCCTGGTTCCCAGGGCCAAAAGCCTGGGTCTGGAGCCACGGTTCCATCCACACAGCAGGTCTTTCTAATCACGACTTAATTATGTCCTCTTGTTTCTGAGTCGCTGAATATACAAAGGGACAATGGCCAGGCCATTTGTGAAAATAGCTCTGACCTACACTACAGCACTTGACAGGAAACCAGCACTTTGTCCAATACACACCCTGGATCTGGCCTGCAGCAAGCCAGATCCGTGGAAGCCAGGTCTGTCCCCATGACCTCCAGGAAGCTGACAATGACTTCTGGGACAGTTGGCGCAAATGCCATGCAGAAGTGATCAGCACGGGACCACTTCCTAAACTCTCTGTCCTTTTTTCCAACCAGAGGGGCTCAAACAAGCTCCCTATGTCCCCACCTTCAGTCTCGCACCCATGGCCCAGCCTGGACTCAGTCCTGATGCCCTGTTCACTGGAGTCTTCACACCTTGGCTCCTTGGCACACCAACCCCACCCCTGGAGGCTGCTATTCTCACTGAAAGTAGAGGGGGCCCTTAGCTTGGCTCCTTCCCACACATGGCCTCAAGCAGGGCTCCTGGTGGATGGCAGGTACTCAGTGAATATGACTGATGGAAGGAAAATGGACCCAACCTCTCCTCAGCCAGCTTTCCCCCCAGGCTTCAGTCCTCTTCTCTGTACCCTTCAGGGAGGGGCTGGAAAGAGGGACAGACATCCTCACCTGCCTTGCTAGGTAGAATCAGAAAGGCTTTTGGAAAACTGAGGGAAACCAAGGGACCCCTCAGATGCCCAAGGCCCTTTCCCCACCTCACCCACGAGAGGAGGACGCACCAAGAGTGTGCATTAACCACTAACACCTGGGAGAAAACTGCTGTGTGGAGGCACCACAGTGTAGCCCTCAAGTACACGACACCCCTTGTTATTAAGAAATCACACATCTTATAAATACAGACACACATTCTCTGAATGTTGCTCTCCCAATGGCTGCTTCCCTCTGCAGCCACCAGGCACCACAGCCCTACTTGGCACCTCAGAGAAGGGAGGAGCTGTTCCTCTAAGGCTCTGTGTGGCAGGTGTAAGGGGTGGAATCCTGTCCTCTGTTCGTCTAATGTCCAGGATGTCCACAGTGGGTGCCTGTGTTGCACCCAGCCTGCGCTTCCTGTCCATTCTTGTAGCCTCTGATGCATGGCTCTGTCCACTCAGGCCACAGAGCTGGGCAGATTCACCCCAGCTCAGCTCTCCAAGCTTTTGCCACCAAGGGCATCTGCCTCTAATGTCTGAGCTCCACGTGGTCAGAGGCCCATGGACACTTGCAGCCAGGATGAGCAGTATCTTGCCGGGTGGGTTGGGAAGGGGACAGCAGGGAGGGAACACTTTCTTGACTGTCCTCCTAAGCTCCACAGACACAGCATAGCTACGTGGAGTCCATTCACCAGGTGCCTTTGAAACAGGCTGGACCATGGTGAGCCCAAGTCCCTGTGGAGAGCAGGCTGTTGTGAGCACCGTTCCAGCCCTGGTTTGCACCTCAGGAGCTCTGTCAGTAGGAAAATGGGGAAGGAGTGCAGGCAGTTGCCCGTGGTGTGTTTGTGAACTGCTTAGGAATGAGGTACCATCTCATCAAAGCTCCATGCAGTCTGTTTTATGAAAACACTACCCTTCCCCTGTGCCTGTCTTTCTCCTGTTAGTGGATACTCAGTCATTGACCCATGAGGTGGGGCCTTGCTGACATGTAGGGAGGGGCCCCAGCTCTCCATCAGGCTCTGTGTATCTAACACTGAGCACCTGGTGGCTTTTAGGAGTCACAGCTAAGGTTAAGAGCTAAGGCTTAGGTTACAGAAGGGATGTCCAGAGGAGCCCCTCCACATGGCGGGGTTCTGTTTCTGAATTAGTAAAGATAAAATAGTCTGTTTTCTTAAATATGATTCCCTAAAGTATGCTGGGCTATTTTCTCCAGTATGGTAATTAAACTCTGCTAAATCTTATAATTTAGAAATTTTATATATTTAATTTCTCATGTTTATATTCTCATTCTTAGAGCAAGTTCACTTTTATTGTTATTGCTTGTTAAATTGTTTTTCAAGCAAGCCAGAGGTCACAAGAGCTTTCTAAAGACCCCTGAGGCCACTGTCCCATTCCTAGCCTGAGAGGGACATGCTAATCTCCATCCCCATGAACCAGAGAGAGGTGCCCCTCCCAGGCTCCCGGGGTGCAGGTGCAGGCTGCAGCCTGCCCTGCAGGACTTGCTGCTGAGTTCTCTCCCGAAGAGTGGTTACGCGCACATCTGCCTGGCAGAACAGTGTGCTGAAACAGAAGCTCAGCAGGTAGAGAAATGGTTCCCTGGAATCCAAGAGAACCCTCATTTCTGAGCACTCTGCCCACCATCTGCTGACGAGCTAGAACTGGCTTCTGTCACAGGTGTGCTGACTTACAGCTCTGGGTGTCAAAGTATTTTCCCCAAACTGCCTCTGGCCTGGTCCTACCTGCCCGAAGACCACTCAGTTATCATGATGCTGCCAGCTGTGTTCTCAGAGCCCTGAGACTCTTCCCGCTGTGCAAGGCTGTGGCCCAGCCCAAGTCACCCTGCTGAGCCCAGACAGACCAAGCCCCATTTTTGTTTGTTTGTTGTTTTGTTTTTACAGTATGGGGGATCGAACTCAGGACCTTGCACTTGAGCTTGCGAGGCAGGCACAGCACCACTGAGCTAAATCCCTGGACCCCTCCATTTTTAACACTGTCAATTTGCCGTTCATTCTGAATCCTAAGCAACCATCAACTTCAGCCTCGGGGTAGGCTCACTGGCACACTATTGTCATCCATCGGCCCAGGCTACATGGCCAGGCACTGAGTGAGGACGAGGCAGACAGACTGGGTGGAAGGCCTTGAAGACCTGAGGAGAATCCTTGAGATGTCAGCCTGGACCTTGGGAAACAAGTATGCTTTCCTAGGTCCCCACAGTTAGACAGGGAGACTGAAGAGTCACAGAGGTTCTTTGTGTGACCCATCTCCTGTTTGGCTCCTGAATCTTCTTCTGGGCCCTGCTCTACAATTCCTTGTAACTTACAGTCCTAACAAGAACCCCTGCACTGTGACACGTGGTTGGGTTCATGGAGTGTCTGATCACCTAGCTATCTGCAGCAGGAATCCTTCGGATTGATTTAACCAAAATCCCCCTCATGCTGGATGTTTCCTCTTGGCCACTTCCCATCCACAGACTCCCACCTGCTCCTTGGCTGTGAATCCTGACAAGTGCTTCATTCAGAGTGGACCCCACTACAGGACTCCATTTCAGTGGTCCCTGAACCTACGGTGACAGTCCTGAAAGAAGGGCTCCCTGCTGTACCTTGAATAACTTTTTCTTTAAAGAGAAGGAAAAGAGCAAGAGAGGGAAAGAAGAGGGTAGACAAAGAGAGGGCCGGTACTGAGATAGACAGAGGAAGGGTAGTGAGCAGTGAGGAAACTGGTTTACACTGTCAGGTCACTGAGGACTTTCTGCCCATGGCCTTTGGTCAGAGCTGCTTGGTCGTCACAGTTAGTTTTGGTGGCACAAGGAGTCTGAGTGACAGCAAAGCAGCCAGCTTTCTGAGGACAGGCACTATGAGAGGCGCTGAGCAGCCCACATCTGGTACTTTCCCCTTTTGCACCGATTGTGCCTGGGCTCAGCCAGGGGCTTGGAGCCTGAGGTCCCCAACCTGTGACACAGGACACACTTCATCATCCGGAGGATGGGAGGATGGGAGGATGGTCCACCCCTCCCGCAGGGTGCCCTCAAAGCCTCCACGGTGAGAAGCTCCAGGAACCCATCACAGCAGGGAACCGCAGGCCCTGCACAGTGCAGCCTGTGGGGAGGAGGCTAGGAAACTGTGGACCTGCCTGGAGGCTGAGCACAAGGAGCGATCAGGACTACAAAGTCTGGTCCAGAGGCCTCATGGGCTACAGCCACCCTTTCCTATCCCCGTGGGGGCCTCCCAGTGGAGAATAGGCCATGTCTGCACAGTACCCCACACCAACCTTTACAGTAAAACCCCCAATCATGAGTGGGCTTGCATATTCCTTACATTTCAATGCAGCTTTTTGCAAAGTACAGGAAGGACAGAAACTGACGCCTCTGGGGTATGCAATCCCAGGACGGCAGCTGAGAAGTCTGTGCAGACAGTGGAATGTTTGCACTCCAGTCAGCTCCAATGGGCTCAGGCCCTTGGAAATGTTTGCTTTTGGGGATGGTTTTTGCAGGAAGCCCCTGCATTCTCTTTTCCTTTCAGAAGCCTCAGAGCAGCCCTTGCTCCTCTCCAGAGGAGGCCTAAGCCTCTGCTCTCAAATGTTAATCAGGTTGTAAACTTCTCTGGACTGCATCCTGCCCCAGCTACTTCCTACAGGAACAGCCAACACCTGGCACAAAATATAGTAGTATTTTCAGCCAGTTTTGCTACTGTCCTTCTTCCCCAAGTTCCTGGGCCCCAGCACTGCAAGGACTTGATTGCTCCCCACCTCTTCTCTGCCAGGGACTTTGAGCAGGCTGAGGATCAGCCAGGGTGAGTTGCTGACCAGGCTGAAACACTGTGGTACCCACTGCACAGCTGAGCTGAGAACCCTAGGATCTATTTCCTTGAAAAATTGAGCAAAATTTTCTTTGGAAAAGAAAAAAAAGTTCACCACCACCACCACTACAGTTATTTTTTTCACAACATTTTTATGCCCAACTTACCCCCACTCTGGAACCCAAGTTTAGACTCCACTTCCCAAAGAGGCACCCACCTACAGGCCAGCGCCCACGGGAGGGAAGAGGGAGGGCTGGAGCACCCACTGTGGCTGTGCACAGCAGGCAGAGAGGAGGATGAAGGAGAACGAATGAGAATTGAGAGAATAATAGCATAATTTGGGTGTTTATTCACACTGAGAACTTAACATGGAGTTCGAATTCAATCCAGTTTCCAGCAGCCAGCGGTATCACTAAGACAATGCTTTGGGGAGAAATGGCTTAACAATATCAGGAACCAAGGTGCCCCCCTAAACCTGCCCCCCGCCCCACACCCCCAGCTGAAGTGGAAGCTTGGTGCTGGGTGGATTACACAATCCAAAAGATCAAAGACCTCTTCATATCTCTTCTGGGGAGAGAAAAATCCCCCATGCAGCTGCCCACCACATCCCAGGGCCAGAGCCTGTAAGATGAGCTGCAGAAGCTAAAGGAAGCTGGCAGGTCTCACTGGCGGGGCAGGCCCCATGCCCAGTGCCCGGATGCCTCACACCATGGTCATGACCTTCAGTGCTGCTGGCTGGAACCTGCGGATCTTCTTCTTCAGAGCCCTGGAGGCCTTGATGCGGCACAGTTTGGGCACAGGTGGCAGAGTTGGCCTGGAGCCTGCTGGGGCCTGTGGGGGCTGCTCCCTCCGCCCGGCCACCACCTGGTCCAGCTCCAGGCTGCTGCCCTTGCCCTGGATGCCGCCTTCCGAGTCACTGCTGCTGGACTCCTGGTCCCCGAAGCGGTTGGTGGTGTGGTCGCTGGCCTCCTCCTCACTGGTCTCAGCAATGGTGGAGTGGAAGAGTGAGGTGCACTCAGCTGAGTGCTCGGAGAGGTCGGATTCGATCTCGGCCTCCTGACGGGCCAGCAAGGGCCTGTCCCGGGCTGGTGGGTCCTCTGCCTTCCTGACTGTGTGTGTGGGAGGATCGGCACAGCTGGCTGAGCCCAGCTTGCCGGAGATCTCCACGCTGGACTTCCAGGGGCGCTGCTTCCTCCTGGCAGCTGCGCTGAGGGGGTTCGCTTCAGCAGGGAACAGGGCCCTGGATGAAGCCGATGCCTGGCAACTGTGCTGCTGGGCCACCACCAGGGGGATGAGGAAGGGTATGGGGTAGAGAGTAGACTCTGAGCAGGATCGGCCAGGGGCCTCCCCAGCCAGGGAGGGCCTCTTCTGGGGCCCGCGCCCTTGGGGCCTGTGCCACAGACCCCTCTCAGGGGGCAGCCAGGGGCCCCCGTGGACACCCTGGGGACTCTCGGGGTGGGGCAGTGGCTGCCTTCCAGACCCAGGCACCTCGTCACTGGCCCTCCTCCTGATCTTCACAGCCCTGGTCTTAGCGGGTGCTGTCCTCAGCCTGGACATCGGGGCTTCAGCAGCACGGGGCAGATGCACAGAGCACCCAAGAGCTTGCAGGGGTCTCTCACACCCCAGCCTCCTGGGGGTGGCCAGGCTGCAGTTGTTATGGAGCTGCCACGCCTGGGGGCAGGGAGCAAGGCCCACAGCTGTCTCTCCAAGGTTACGGGGATTTGAGGGTCTGGGCCCCTCCTCTGGGGGGGTGCTGGGGGCTGGGGTATCCCTGAGGGGTGTGGGTCCCTGCTGCCTGAGGCCATCTCCCTGTACAGCCAGGCTCTGAGCCATTACTCCCGTGTTCCTTCTCCCTCGGGCACACACCAGCTTCTCTGGCTGCCCGCCACTGCCCTGTTTCTGGTCACCCGCCTTCTGTGGGAAGGGAGATGCTTCGTTTCTCAGGGGTCCCTGTTCCCCCAAGACATCCCTTGGGGAGGGCCCTAGGGCCCGCAGACGCAGCAGCCTATCGATGTAGGCTCCAGCTCGGCCCTCTTCACAGACTGGCACTGCCAGGGCTGTGCTCTGATCCCTGGGGGGTGAGTGGCTGTGGGGCCAGGGGGTCTCCTTGGCCAGGGTGAACAGGGGGCTCTGCAGGGCCACGGCATGCAATGGACTGGGGTATGGGTACACTTCCCGGCCTCCCCTGGACACGAGGTCATGCTGGTAGGTGGGGTCCAGCACGTGGGCCGGGGGGTCTGTCCCCTGGCAGAGGAGGGAGGTGGGCGTGGCATCTGCACCCAGACTCTGGAGCCCCACGTCCACTGGAAGGACCCTCTCAAGGTCACCTGGGAAGGAAAACAAGCATGTCAACAAGGAAAGAATTCCTGTGGGGTCAGCTCCTCTTTGAGGGTGTACATGTGCAAAGTCTAGGAGCAAGGGGACAGGAGATCCACCACTCTAGCCCCAGCACCTGGAGCCATGGCAGGGTGTGGATGGCTGAGTGCAGCACCTCCAGGCCTGGAGGCCGAGTCAGCTGGGTGCTGTGCTGCATCCAGCTGAAGGGTGCCCAGAGATAAAGCTCTGTAACCCACTGAACTCCAGACAGAGGTCAGAGAGGTCTGGCACAACCCTCCTGGACTGTCTGCAGGGATCTGAGAGTGAACTCTGGGGTCTTTCACCAAGGAGAGATGGAGGTTCACGCTAAAGCTGCTCTTGTGTTACAAGCGAAAGGAGGCTCGGCTCGAATGACCTCTCAGGGAGCAAGAGGCAGAGGGTGAACAAGTTATCTTCCCATGGCCCCTTTGCTACAAATGTGGGCGGCTCAAGGGGTGTGGAGGGCTTTTAAAACCAGTCTCTATTTTAAATAATAAGAAAACTCCACCCCCCAGACCAGCCCATCCATCATGCATAAGAGAGGGGGTCTGGCTGCTCCTCTACTGGCAGATAGCTCCATGAGGGTCCTGCTCTGTCCCCAGCATGGCTGGATGGCTGCCCTCTGCTGCCCCTTCACCCTCTCCTGCCTCTCTCACCTGTGGAAACTGGCCTGGGCCGGAACACGTCCTGGGCTCGGCCCGTGCCTGCTGCACTGTCCAGGAAACTGCTTCCCTCTTTGGCGGGCTGGGGTCTCCACGCGGGCACGGTGTTCTCATCAGCAGACCGCGGCCGGCAGTTGCCCACACCAGACCTGGACTTGGAAGGATGGGAGGCAGGCAGCAGACTGCTCAGGGATGGGGAGAGCCGGTCACTGCATACAGAGGCACAGGAGGTGGACAGGGAGCAGGAACCTGCATCGCTCAGCTCATAGAATCCTGAGAGAGACACAGACAGGTGGGTGCATGCCCTGGAGACCCAGCCCTGAGGGCCCAGAGTCTCTGCCCTCCTGCTTGTCCTGGCACAAGGAGGGGGTGGGGGGAAGACTGTGAGACTCAGCTCCAGACAGGATGCTCCAGATGCCTCCCAGGATTTTCATGGTCATGGGGTTCAGAACACCCCCTCCCTGCACCAGTTCCTGGCCAGCGGTTCCACAGCCAGCACACACAGGGCTACCAAGGACTGTCTCCGCAGTGAGCACAGGGGCTTCTGTGTCCAAGGGTCATGTGGGGAAGGTCGGGTATAGAGCAGAGGTGACCAGGGTCATACATGCCAGCAATGAATGTGGCCTTCCAGATGGCATGAGGTAGGGGCATCCTTGTCAGCCTGACTTAAACCCATGGATTTAAATACAGGTATGTTCTGTGGCTGCAGAATGGTTGGTCACATCCTCCATGAAACATCAACAGAACAGACAAGCTGTCTCAGCCCTGAAAGAGGTGAGAAACTCACCGGGATTTTTTTTCCCCACCAAAAGCAATACTTTTCCAGGGAGTGTGTGTATGTGTGTGTGTGTATGTACGCACACATGTGTGCACTCATGTGTGTGTGTGTGTGTACGTGTGTGTACCTGAGCTAGGCCTGCTGTCGCTGTCTGGGCCTTCGTTTGAGGCTCTGCACATGCCCAGCTGCAGTTCGCTTATCTGCAGGTCCAGCTGGTCCAGATGAGTCTTGAGGCCAGCATCCTGCTGCCGTAACCAGGACTGAGGAGGCAAGAAGGAGAAACAAAACTGACCGTAGAGCACAACCCCAAACTCAAGGCTCTGGGGAAGGTGGACACAGCAGGTGACAGACAGCCTGAGACGAACTCCCAGGGGAGGCACACCTTCCTCACTGGCCATGCTCCTTGCTTGGGCTGAAATGCTTCCCTAGCTCTAGTGGCACAGAAAGGAAAACGTCTACTAATCCTCCTCACCCCACATGCACACACCACAGAGACGGTTTTTCTTTTTTTTCCTCCTATGCAGTTTTAAAACCTATCAGCAGTTTCCAGGGAGACACTGCTTTATCAGGATGCAGAATATGACAGCTTGTGAGACTGCAGAGTCAAAAGTAGAACATGATACCTGCAGCAGGCACCACCGATAAAGTTTTCACTCTTTTTGCTTTCTTTCAGACCTAGAGGAGGATTTACATGGTGTCACTGTGTCCTTCACACAACAGACCTTGGTTGGTGGCCCTGGGCGGGGGAGCCCTTTGCCCTCCAGGTGGTGGAAAGTCCTCGGGAAAGAGGAAGACCACTTCTGCATCTGGCCTCTCTTCTTCCATCTGGAGCAATTTTCTTTTTTCTTCATGAGGATGAAACCTAGGACCTCATTCATGCCAGGCAAGAGCATGGCCACTATACTGGACCCCCAACCCTTGAGTAATTTCCTTATTGGCCACAGATTTTGGTGAAGCTGCTGGGAAGATCGCTCTCAGCAAGCACCAGAGGCCTGCAAGGTGGAGCGCATCAGTGTAAATGCTCCTGAAGCCCAACAGGGGTCTCCCTGTTTGAGAGGACCTATCACAGCTCTGCCCTGGGCCACATCTCTAGGCCTCCAGCCCCAGCTCTCAAGGGTCACTATGAGCATCAGCCACACAAGCTATGTGTCCATCTTCCACCTATTGTGAGCAGCATGATATAGGTATTATATCTATGTATACATATACTGTGTACCTCGGTTCACAATGTTAAATCATTCTGTGATTCTGGAAAAGATGACCAGATCTTCATGTTCATGCAGGAAAGATGGCCATGGTCTTGTTTGTTCCCCAATGCAGAGTTCACAAACAAAAACAAATTTTGCCAAACGAATCTGTTTGCAAACCAAATTGTGCACAAGCAAAAGTGTTTGGCGAGCCAAGGTGCCACTGTATATGTATAAAACTAGCACTGAGCGAGTAGTAAATGCTGATTTCTTTCTTTCATTTATACAGCTGCACCCTGATCTACTATATATATATATATATTTTCCAGATCTACTATATATATTTCTTGTTCCCACTAACAAATTTAAGGCGAATAATTAGTGAATGCAATTATCAGATTCATCCTGTTTAAGAAAATGATTACATTTCTAATGGGGATTTACTTCAATAACTTTATAGAAATCATCATGAGAGAAGTGAGTAATAATAATTTCCTGTCTGCAGGAGAGTCTCTTCTGTACAGTTTTCGTCACACACCAGAGGTGAGCTGAACTGGACCTGGTCCAGGCTGGCACATAGGCAGCTGCCTCTCTCACCCAACTCAGCCTCAGCTGCAGAAGCCAGAGGCCCTGGAACAACCTCGGGACCTGGATGGTAACATAGTATCAAAGGCGGGATGCTCCTGAAAATGTGTACAGGGCAAAGTCAGTCCTGAGCTGAACAAAACTTCATGCTCTTGGAGCCCCAGATGGTTTTAAGGGTCCTGGCTTCCTACCTTGCACACTTTCACATTTCCACAAAGAAGCCTGGGTCTCACAGATAGGCACTCAGCCTGCCTACCACACATGCAAGACAAAAACAGAAATGAAAAAGATACTGAGATTCACCAAGGGGCCAACCTCTGTACTTTTTCCACAAACGACTTTTCTTCTCCTGTCACAAAACCATGGGACACAGAGAAAGTTCAGTTCTTTTGTTAGTTCTTCCCTTCCTGCTTAAAACCATCTACTCCACCTCTCTTGCAAATCATGCCTTCCACTTCTTCCTGGGTCCCCAGCTACCTTCTCTCCTCCTCCTGGAGCCCCTCCCCAAGCCCTGCCTTGTGTGTTTGTGTTGGGGTTCACTGCTCTGTGATTAACATTTCACCAGCCAGACTTAGCTCTGGTTTCTGATTAACTGTGGCCCGGAGGCCCCCAGGCTCCAGGTTCTCCGGGTGGTTTATTACATCCTCAGCCCCTCCCCTTCTGCAGCTCCACATTCAAGACTGACACCATCCTTGTGACCCCTTCCCACTGTCCCTGTTTTCATTCCTCTTTCTCACCAGGGGACTTCGTGTTCAGAGTCACAATGACCAGGGGTGAGCATGGCCAGCTGTAGGCCAGGAGTGGAGCCCAGCGCCTGAAGTCCAGCCGAGGGACTCTTTGGGACACTTCAGCTCTGCCTCCTGCTGCCAGCCTTGGCCCACTGCTGGGTACAGGTTCGCACTGGATGGGGCTGAGGATCTCAGGGCACTTGAGTCAATTTTCCAAATTTGTTAGTGTTGGGGCCTGGTGTCTGACAGCACTCACCAAGGTCCCCAAGGTGCAATCACCTGGTCTCCTGCAGGTTCTGGGCTCAGGCCCTGGGACATGCCAGTCAGCTTCCCAGGGATTAGGTCTGAGAACCTGTCATAGGAGGTGCAGACAAAAGGCAAGTATTGGGGCAACCCCTTCCTTTGAAATGTTTATAGCCCACAGAAAATGATCTGATTTGCACGTTCTTTGCTTCCCCAATTAGCAATTCTGAATTGCAACCATGCAAAAGCTTTATGGAATATTCAGAGGACAAAAATTAAAACTACCTTGAAGTTCAGGATATAGAGATAGTATCTAAAACACTTCCTGATTTTCCTTGAAAGCTAAGAATGTACAAAGGAAACATCTTACGCATGAATGACTTAGCTCCGAAGGGGGTAATCATTATACCTAAATTAGTGGGGAAGGGGCTGGTGTTCTCCCACGGGACCTTGGGTGACAAGCACCAGTAACTTCAGAGGAAGACTGGCCCGGGCCTGTGGATGCCTGAGCCTTGCTCATGAACCTTAACTAGTTCTCCCTCTGCTCTACACTGCTCCCTTTGCTCTCTGTGTATTCACAAAGCCAGCATAGTCGTCCAAGGAAAATACTCAGCATCGTGTTTACAGCTGTGGAATCAGTTTGTGGCTTGCTCCTGCAGGGCTTACTGCTGGGTCCTGCCCGTGGAAAGCCATTGTTGCTAGCTGCCCCTTTTTAGAACAAGTCCCAGCCAGCCAAGCCAATGACTGAGAAATTCTCCAGGATAAGATTTCACTGCAGCCCCTGCCCTTCGCTTGCTGCCCACCTAAGGGCACCCCTTCCACAGACACAGCAGGATCTGCTGGTGGAAGATGGAGCTTTCAGGCCACCCTCAGGCAAGGGCGCCCATGGGTGGATGACACCTCTTGCCTGGTATAAGAAAGGAAAAGATACAAAGTGCCCCACACACAGAAACTGGTGGGCACAGCCACCTCTGGCTACAAATGGCCAGGATGCAGCTGACTGCTGGGATGGAGGGCACAGGGTTTTATTCTTGTGGAAATCATCCCTCCTTTGTGCCAGCAACAAAGGTCACTAATTTAATTCTTCAGCAAAACCCTACTAAGCACCTACTGCTGCACTCTCTTTGTGACTCTTGACACTGCAATTTGAAGGGTGAGGCCCATTTGATGAGCAGGCTCTTTTCCCAATGACAGTTAAATCCCAGGAAATGCTAAAGCACCTCCTCACTTGAGAATTCCTTCAGGACAGAGATGCACAGGACTCTGCTAAGTGTTCTTCCGGTCTTCACACCTGCAGGAGGATGCAGGCTGGAGGGTTGGGGAGGGTGGCACTGGGCTACCAGAGTTACTGGGGTGTTTAACTGTGCAGACCAAAGCCTTTTGATGGCTTTCTTCATTACACACTTCACATCACTCATGTTTTCCCCTGCATGAAAAATGGGAGTGTTAAGTGCTGGCTGATGTCACACGAATTCAATTACTGTTCTCTTTTGATCACATAATCCTTTCCAAGAACAAAGTTTCAAGACAAAGTCTGCCTGTTCTTTCTGGTCCCACACTTAAAAAAAAAAAATTTAAACAAAAAACCTGTTTGATCTCTCCCAAAAGGCTACTCTTAATTAGAGGCTAAGTGCACACAATATATTGCTACAGCTAAGTTAGTCATCAGGTGCCTTCTGACCCCTTGACAGGCTGTTCATAAGTGTTACACACCTGCGGGCTGCGTGTACCTGGCTGGGCTCATGCAGAAGCCAACTGTGGCTGGATGCAAACCTCTGGGCAGCAGACATGTCTGTTCCATTACAACCTGGTCCATGGGAGCTTCTGCAGGACCCACGCAGGGTCAGCCCTGCCCTCTCCAGAGTGGCACTGAACCCACAGACTGGCCCTGGTCAGAGCCACACTGCTCAGGCAGGCTACCCTCCATCTCTGCAATAGGGTAGGTAAGAGGGGTCCAGGGAGGTGCCTCCACACCATGATTTCCCAATTCCTTAATCCTGACGTATTTGCCCAGGTGAGGACTTGCCGAGCTAAGCTGATAGGAATGCTCAGCCTCATGGAGACTTGTTACAGACACTTGTTAATGACTCAGCTTTAAAGAGGACAGATGTGAGCTCCTAATGTAAAAGAAATTCCACTCAGAATAACAGAGGTGACTCAAATAGACATCTTCTGTAGCATTTTGGTTTTTCTTTTAGAAATACTACAGTACTGCAAAATCTCTTTTGAGTTGTTCCCAGAAAGTAACACGGTATTACATATCGCAGAAAAAACGAGTCAAGTAATAAGCCGAGGATATTTTCAATGTTATGGAAGGGAAGTGGAGTCCATACAGCAGAGGGCAGAGACACGGTGCAGACAACGCGTCACGGGTTCCCTGTGAAGCCTCCATTCCGACCCAAAGTCAGTTTCCTACAGAGCAGAGCGGTGTGTGGCTGGAGTGGAAGAACTCACCAGATACCTGCTGCCCTGAACATTTTCTTACAGTGCACGACCCTGGCATGGCTGAGCACCCTCCAAGTGCGCTCTACAAGCAGACATGTGGTCCCTGACCAACGCGGTCCCCGGGTCTCCTGGTCTCGGAGATGAGGCCAGGCTGGCCAGCAGACTCCTGCCAGGGGAAATCGAGTCAAGACATTCCTGTCAGAACTGCACTGCCTCAGTCAGACCCCTGAGCTGCCCAGAACCTGCGATCCTCCCTGGGCACAGACCTGCGGCTCCGGCTGCTCCAGGATCCCGATCAGGGTTGCGACCTTCGCGCAACTGCTCCGCACAGTCCCCGCCATGGCCCAGACCCCGCAGCCCCCGGCCCTGGTCCGGCTCACCAGTTGCTCCCGCAGCGCCGCCAGCGTGGCCTCCAGCCTCCCCTCGCCGCCCCGGGCTCCGGCGGGCCCGGGCGGGGACAGCAGTGCTAGGGCGCCCCGCACGCGCCTCTCCTGCGTGGCGCGCAGCCCCTGTAGTTCTTGCAGACCAGCCAGCGCCGCGCGCAGCCTCGCGCCCCCGCGGCGGCGGTCCCAGCCCGCGGGCCCCGGGTGTCCGCCGGGCGCCCACATCCCGTTCCTCCGCAGCCTCTGCCGCTCCTGGCCGCCAGTCTCAGCCCCACCCGAAGGTCGCCTAGGTGGGGAGGGACCTGGGCTGCGGGAGGGCGGCGTCTGCGCGCCCGCCGAGGTCAGGGCGGCCGCCCCCTGCAGCCTTCGCCCGCCGCTGCTGGGCCTGGACCCGGCAGGGCCCGCCATGGGACCCCATCGCTATTGAGGCAGGAGGAAGGGCGCGAAATGAGGCACAGCTGCACAAAAGGCTCTGCAAGCTGAAAAATGATTCTGAAGTCACGTTTGAGGACCATGTTGCCATTAGGAACTCATAAATGAAACCATATTACCCATATTTCCTAATGCATGCCCGTGCTGTGGAAACACAAGGCCTGTCTTTCTATTCTTCTGAAATAATAGCTTTATTGGGTTGTAATTCACAAACCACACAGGTTACGTTCTGTAGCTTTGAGTGAATTCACGAAGTTGTGCCGCTCACTATGACCACTTGTAGAGTATTTTCACCCACCGCCTGCCCCCTCACACATTAGCAGTCGCCCCACTTTCTTGGTTACTCCATCCTGGGGAGCCACTCACACCCATGGTGGAACCTCACTAAATGGAATCCCGCAGTGTGGATTCTCATAGGTACCTTCCTCAGCCTTGTTTCCCAGGGTAGGCATAGTGCACAACCCTCCAGCTCCTGCCAGAATCTGAGCTTCAGAACTTCATCCCTATTCATGGCTGAGTACTACTCCACACATGGCATAGGACATTTTGTTTATCCCGTCATCTACCCGTGACATTTGAGTGGCTTCCATGCTAGCCCTGATGAAGAATGCTGCGAGAACTTTCCTGTGCAAGTTCTTGTGTGGAACCATGTTTCTTTTCACTTGGGCATCTACCTGAGCATGAATTGGTGGATGGCAAGTAGCCACTATGTCTAGCCTTTTGGAGAAGTGCTAGAGGGCTTTCCAAAGTGGTAGCTTCTCTACATCCCAGGCTGCATCTAGATCTTTCCACGTGTTCTGCCAACAGCTGTTTCTGGCTGTGGCCACTCTGGGGTGTGATCTGCATTTCCTGCAGGGCTGTGGGTATGTGACATCTTTTCAGGTGCTGTGTATCTTCTCTGGGGAATGATTTATTTAGACCCTGTGCCTGTCTTAAAACTGGGTGATATTTTTTCAATTGAGATGTAACTCATCTTTATGCATTTCCCCTTTCATACCTGCCATTATCTTATTAGAGGCACAATTTGCAAATGCGGTTTTTATTCTGCAGGTTGCCCTTTCCTTTCCTTACTGCAAGAGCATTTTCAATCTCAGTGAAGCCCAGTTTGGCTGTTTATTCTTTTGTTGCTTATGCTTTTGCTGTCATATCTAGGATCCTAGTTTATGCCTATGTGTTTTTCTGAGCATTTGGGGTTTTAGCGCTTACACTTAAGTCTTTCACCCAATGTGAGTTAACTTTTGTACCTGATGTGAGCACAAGGTGACTTCATCCTTTATTGCATGGATTGTCAGTAACTCTGGCATGGTTTGTTGGAAAGATGGTGCTCTCCCTCACTGAATTGTCTGGGACTCCTGCTGAGAATCACTTACTCTAGGAAAGAAACCTCTAGATTCCACCCCATTGGCATACATCTTTATCATTATTCTAATAACATACTGATTGAGTATAGTAAGTCTTGAAGTCAGGAAGTGTGAGTCCTTCAACTGTTGTCTTCCTTTATAGGATTTCATTGGCTGTTCTGTGTCCTTCACATTGACAACAAGAATTTTAGGGTCATCTTATCAATTTCTGTGAAAAGGCCAGTGGGGATTTTGATGAGGAATAAATGTAATGACACTGTAGACAGGTTGGAAATAGCATTACTTTAAGTCTTCAGGACCATAACCATGAGCTAGCTTTTCTGGGCCTTCTTCAGCAGTGTTTTGTAGTCTTCGGCATGCAAGACTTACACTTGTGCTAAATTTATTTCTATGTAGTTTCTTCTTTTTGGTACAGTTGTATGTGGAATTGTTTTTAAATTTCAGAATGTTCACTGCTCACATATAGAACCCAACAGTTGTTTCACTGATCCTATAACTGCTGTGTGTGTGCTCCTTTGTTAGTTCTAGTAGCCTTTATCTTTCATTTCTTTGCTTCTCTATCCATAGCCATATCATTCTGCAAAGACAGATGGTTTTCCCTCTGCCTTCCTTATCTAGGTGCCTTTTATTTCTTTTTCCTCCTACTTGTGGCTGCAACATCCAAGTCAGAGCTGAATAGAGGCTGCAAGAGGACACCCACATTTTGCTCCCGACCAGAGGGAGAACACCCAGTCTTTCTGCAGGGAGTAGGGGTCAGGAATGTCTTCATAGATGCATTTACCGGGACAAGAAAGCGGCCTTCTTTTTCCAGGTTGTGTGTGTGTGTATGTGTGTGTGTGTTTTGTTGTAATTATAAAATAATTTGAAGTTTTTAAGATTATTTTATGATTACCTTGTTTTCTCTTTGGTCCTTTATTTATCTAGCCTACTTTTTCAGAAAAAGCACAAGGCTGGAGACTTGGGAAATGCTGCGTCCAAGTTCCTGTACCCTCAGTTTCCCCATTCATGCCATGAGTATGTGAAGATGATTCATGGGGCTGATTTTCTTGGTAAAAAAAATCCCTAATTTATGAGAGAGAGAGAGAGAGAGAGAGAGAGAGAGAGAGAGAGAGAGAGAGCACGCAAAAGAGGGTGGACAGTGAAAGACAGAGCCCTGGAGTGATGAAGATGGAAACTGCACGAGGGCCCTTCATCCACCATATGTCTCCCCTCTGGGACCCTCACTGGTGTCCCTTGGTGAGCAAAAGTTCTTACTTTTATCCAGTCTTATTCAATGTTAACCTTTTTGTGCTCTTTTGAAAAAAAATTGCTCATTCAAGTTTGTGATATTATTTAATGCTTCTTCAAGAAACTTTGTTATTTTAAGGTTCTTTTTTGTTTTATTAGTACATGTTTGCAGTACATGCAGTTTACCATCATCTTGGGGAGTGGGTTTGTGCACATAATACAGCTCATTCCTTTCTTTAAGACCCTTCCTCTTCCCCCTCCCCTCCCTCTCCCTCCTGCCTCCTCTAATTCCCCCCTCCCAGTTTTCATTCTTGTTGATATTATTAATCTTAGCTCATGTTTTGGCATATAATGTTTACATTCTCTGAAGGTATTAGGTTCCCGTACATGGCATAGCTTCGTTCTACTCATTTCCTCTTCCCCTCCTCCTCGCCCCTCGCCCTTGCTCCCTTGGACCCCTTCACTATTGCAAGAGATCCATCCCTTTGTCCCCTTCTATCCATCCTTTATTATTCTCCTTGTTTGTACTTTGCCTCACCCAAATGAGAGACAACATACAGCATTTAAACATGTATGTCTGGTTTATTTCACTCAACATTATATTTTCAAGTGCATCCATTTTCCTACAAATGCCGAATATTTGTCATTTGTATAGCTGAGTAGTATTCCATCGTACATATACTTTTCTTGTTGAGAGCTGCAGGCTATGAGCTGTGTATGGAGGTGGGAGGATCACATACCGTAGTGCAACATGAATCAAGTCAATGTCCAGCCTCTCCACCGCCACCTTTGTCTTCTATGGGAGGCCAGGACCCTCTGGCTGGGGCTGTGTGCACTGTCTCTTCTGTGTGGTTGTGAACTACTTTGTCCTTGTAGTATCCTATTTGCTGTGTCTTTATGTGGAAGCTGGGTGTTCAGCAGAGCAAGCTCACTGGCCTGAACTTCAGTGTCTCCAGTGTCCCTGGTACTTTGTAATATTACATAAATTTAGAATCAGCATGTAAATCTGTAGCAAGGGCCTGCTGTAGCTAGTGGGATTGTCTTCACTCTAGAATATACCTTCAAGGAATTACATCTTTACCACGTTGGATTTGCAATCCATGGATGTAGACTGCCCCTTTGTTTATAATAGTTTTTTTAGTGCCTCTAAATGTTATTTTATAATTTTCTGTTATAAAATCTTATACATCTTTCACTAGATTTGTCCCTATTTCCCTTAAAGTTTTTTTTTTATAATGTTGTCACTGTTAACATTCTAAAATCATGTTACATTTTGGTGATGACATATAAAAATAGTCATTTTGTCAGCTTCGCTAACCTTGTTGGTTTGAATAATTTATCTATAGATTATTTTGGATTCTTTTCATATGTACTCATATCATCTAAGCCTAATAGCAGTTTGATTTCTTTCTTTCGGCTTCATACACTTTCTGCTAGTTTTTCTTGCTTTATGTTGATAGCTAGAGCTTTAGGTACAATGTTGAAGGTGACAGTACCTAGTACCTGGATGTCACTTCCAGGTTAGTGGGAGCTTGTCACTGCCACCCTGCTAACACTGATATGTTTATTTTACAGTCAGCTTTTATAAGGTTAGGAAAATTTTATTTCTTAAATAGATAGATAAATAAATTTTATTTACTTTTTATATTCTATACCTGTCAAGGGTGTTGAATTTTATCAAATATATTTTCTAAGAAAGTGAGGTGATTACACTATTTTCTTTTTTCTCATTTATTTCATGAATTTGAACATATAAACCAACTTTGTCTCTCAGGAATAAACCAGTGTAGTTATGACACAGTATTATGTTTATATATTGCCAGGGTGATTTTGGTAATATTTGGTTTTTATTAGAATTTTGCATCTATATTCATTGGTGAGATTATCATTCTTTCTTTTGTATTTTTTCAGGTTTTTAGAATCATTGCTTTAATGGCCTCATAGAATGAATAAAATGATTCCATCTTTGAGAATTCTGTGTAAGAATTTGTGTAAGATTTATGTTGTATCATTCTTGAACATTTGGTAGAATTCATAATGGACCCATCTGTCCTTGGATTATCTTTAAACATTGTAAATTATGAATATAGGTTTTTAAATAATTATGTAATTGTTCAGACTTTCTGTTTCTTCTTTTGTCAGTTTGCTCAGATGTATTATTTTGATTTTTACTTCACTTTGTCCACATTTTCAAATGTGTTCTGTGACCTACATGTGTTTCTTGAATCTGTGATGACTCTACCCTCCCTGTCCTCTAGCATGGTCACTTCTGTCTTCCAGCTCCTTTCTCCAGATCCACAGCTCCCT